TAAAAAATGCAGCAGCACATACTCAGCAAAAACCAGTATCGAAGAAATAAGGGGCATAAGAATGACCAATGATGACATGAAGAACAGCAACATTACTGACAATATTTTCTGCTAAAGCTTTGGAACAAAACACACCCCAAGAAGCGAATATTCCTTATAGGTCTAGCGAGATGGAGAGGCCCAGCGCGAAGTGGTCAGGACAGGAACCTCGAATTCTGGCTGACCTCCTCCCCTTCTTGGTGACCTCGACAACCGCCCGCCAGATTCTCCTTATCCATGACCTCTCTGCGCCTAGTGAGTTATTCTTTGCATACGTATATTGTTACACATGTACAATCAATAGATTATTGAACATTATATTTTTCATGAATACTGGTAATACAGATACATAAGTACGTATATTCTTACACACGTTTAATTATTAAATGGTACACAGCTGCGCAAACACACAGGAATGTTATGAAAAAATATGCAAATGAAAAAAACAGTTTGGGCTTCTGAAGGAACGCTATAGTGCCATACTATCAGCGAATTTTTAGATACAGGGGTCTTCGACTTAAGACGGATATCCGCTCCTACGATGGCGTCGTAACCTGAATAATGGTGTAAGTCGGAACACACCTAAATACAGTACATGTACGTATGTACATAAGCACCGGTCACTCACAAGTGCTAATGTAGTATCTATACATGTATTTGTCATAAACATAAGACACTTCTATGACGCACGTGAAAACATAAATAGGTCTAAAGGAACATATGAAAGACAAACTGTAGATACTGTACATGATTTCTAGTGTCGTATCCACGAAACATCGTAAGTCGAGACCGTCGTAAACCGAGGACCCCCTGTATATGGATGAATACCATTATTTTTTGTCTAATTATTCCCTTCCCGTCATTTAAAGATATTTCTCCCGCCATTCGAGCCGTCTACGAGCAATGGTATGGTGTCACAACCATCAGCTTCCAAAGCGCTGCGGATTTTTTCGACTTCATAGTGAAGGCGCTTTCGAACGTGTCGGAGAAGAGCATCGCGATCGTCATATGTTCTGGCGGGAACACGGTCGCCATCTTCGAAGCTGTGAGTGCACCTATGACGTCATGTGTTGATGTGATATTGAATCCATAGGTTATCGGCTGATCTATGTTTGTGTCGTGTCTCATACATAATAGATTGGTAGACAAGACAGATAGATAGGTAGATACATATATATACACACGCATACATACATAAATAGATGGACAGACAGATAGATAAGCAGATAAATAGATAGGCAGACAGATACGGTAAATAGAAAAAAACTAAATAATGATTATGATAGTCCTTTGTTTACGATTTTAGATAAGAGAGAAGGACCTGGAATCGCCCAAGATCCAGTGGTTCGTGGTTATGCGAGAGAATTTAACCTTTGACCTGACGCTGCTTTGAGAGAGGGTACACAGGTAAACTAACACCAAATTTACGTTTTCTTTAGCACCTTCGAATTTTAGGGAAGTATAGGTATCTGGTGAGGTTCTAGTAGTTATTGTTGTTGTTATTCTTTGTAAGACTAATGGGAAAAAAAGGGGTGTGAGAAGAAAGCTTTGGAGGGAAATTGATAATGTGTATGTGTGAAAGAGAGAGGGAGAGAGAGAGAGAGAGAGAGAGAGAGAGAGAGAGAGAGAGAGAGAGAGAGGAGAGAGAGAGAGAGAGAGAGAGAGAGAGAGAGACAGACAGACAGACAGAGATAGACAGAGAGACTTTTTGAGGGACACATTTATTGAGACAAAAGAAATTACATCTCAAAGGGTAGATAACATAGGTTATCCTCACCCTTATCTTAACAAGTTCCTGTGTGGGCTCACAATTCATATACAAAAGTTGGGTATAATATTTAAAAATAAATATAATACTTAGACTATAAAAACAAAAAATCAGTCAATGGTTTACATATCGGTAAAGTGATATAACACTCCCACCCCCATCCAGATAAGTCCCCTCCTGGGCTTACATAATCATATACAGCGTACATAAAATATATGCGCGCAGTATATAATTATAATCCCGGAGAAGAGATGAATCAGTTATTGAGTGGAATGTTTGTGTTTCAAGAGAATGATGACTAGAAGAGAGGAATCAGTTGTTCAGTGGAATGTTTGTGTTTCAAGAGAATGATGACTAGAAGAGAGGAATCAGTTGTTCAGTGGAATGTTTGTGTTTCAAGAGAATGATGACTAGAAGAGAGGAATCAGTTGTTCAGTGGAATGTTTGCGTTTCAAGAGAATGATGACTAGAAGAGAGAATCAGTTGTTCAGTGGAATGTTTGCGTTTCAAGAGAATGATGACTAGAAGAGAGGAATCAGTTGTTCAGTGGAATGTTTGTGTTTCAAGAGAATGATGACTAGAAGAGAGGAATCAGTTGTTCAGTGGAATGTTTGTGTTTCAAGAGAATGATGACTAGAAGAGAGGAATCAGTTGTTCAGTGGAATGTTTGTGTTTCAAGAGAATGATGACTAGAAGAAGGAATCAGTTGTTCAGTGGAATGTTTGCGTTTCAAGAGAATGATGACTAGAAGAGGAATCAGTTGTTCAGTGGAATGTTTGTGTTTCAAGAGAATGATGACTAGAAGAGAGAATCAGTTGTTCAGTGGAATGTTTGTGTTTCAAGAGAATGATGACTAGAAGAGAGGAATCAGTTGTTCAGTGGAATGTTTGCGTTTCAAGAGAATGATGACTAGAAGAGAGGAATCAGTTGTTCAGTGGAATGTTTGTGTTTCAAGAGAATGATGACTAGAAGAGATGAATCAGTTGTTCAGTGGAATGTTTATTTCAAGAGAATGATGCCTAACATACGCCAGTCATCAGCAGCAAAGTAGGATACATTATAGTCTCAGCAGGAGTGACAGCCTACATACCTATGCATATTTGCCAGGTATGTTTATGATATTGGTGCAAATTGCCTGTACCTCTTCAAAATCTCGAATACCTGACCATTCCTAATCAGCTACACAGCCTGTTCAGATAACATGTTATCTCTGCATTTCTATGTGTCTGAAGCATAGGACACTGTGATACAGGAGTCGGTAACCTTTTGAGCATAGTGTGTCAGTTTATGATAAAGGCCTTATCAATAACCTTGCGTGCCATTTTTTTTACCACTGTATACCCAAATGTATTTTTCTGCACATGTATAACAAATATAATATTTCTGTAGCTTTTAGTATTCATTGTAACAAAAAATACATATGCTTTATAATTTTAGATTTATACTCACTATATCAATATTTGGACACATTGAGCTTCAAAGAACCCTCATAGTGATCCGTTGTGAACCTGCTGCGATGGGGGCTGAGCGCATGCTGCATGTATGAAAACATCTGGATATCTCTCTCTCTCTCTCTCTCTCTCTCTCTCTCTTCTTCTCCTCTCTCTCTCTCTCTCTCTCTCCTCTCTCTCTCTCTCTCTATCTATCTCTATCTCTCTCTCTCTCTCTCTCTCTCTCCTCTCTACTCTCTTATAATTATTTTGCTGGTGTTTAACTTTTTTTATTCACATGGCATCCATAGACAAGCGCTCTGCGTGCCAAGACTGGCACTCGTGCCAGAGGTTGCCGACCTCTGCTGTGATATATAGTGTATCAATATATGTGATCTAGGTAAACTACACACCTGCATTCTTTTCTGGCTAGCTTGTAGGAACGAGAGAGAGAAAGAATGAGGGAGGGTAGATAGAAAAAGAGTGGAGTAGAGAGTGTGTGTGTCAAAGGAGGTAAGAGAATTAAAAAAACAGTGAAAAATGAAAAAGGCGGAAATAACAAGTATTTCTTTTAATTTCTAACTGAAAATAACTCTATTGTCCTCGTGTTTTCCCACAACCGTTTTTTTTTCACTTTCGGATGTTTTGCTTCTAACAGAAAGAGAAACAAATGTCATTCGATGCCAAATAACCATGACAGTTATAGTTATTAACTGAAATTGAAATTAACTGTCAATCATCATCATCAGTAAGGCACTCGCATGCAGTTTCTGTGTGCGTTTAGTCAGCTAATAGATTATTGAAATACGTTATTAAATATGTTTTCCAATAATAGCTAATGATTGTGAAATTATAGCCTATTCCACCGGCTTAAAGTTTAGGTGAAATGAATAATGAAAATCAATGGTGAATCAGTGTTTACAAAATGGAAAACCTTAATGTGTAAACTTCTGTGTAAATTCTAAACACTGTATGCTGGGCGTATATGTTTTATTTGTTTTGGGTTTTGATTGTTTAACCATGTCATGAAATATACATAACGCAAAGGTATACCATAGTACACACCGTCTTTGCAGATAACTTTAGCTGCTCAGACTTCTTCGAACTCATACCGTCTATCAACCTCCTACGTCGATGTGAAAAACAAAATAGGGTAAGTAAGGTATCCCACTTTAAAAAAAAAAAGAAAAAACTGAAATAAACACAGCCATAGTCTAATAATCATCAAATCTATACAAGGAAACCTAACAAAGGATTTAATAGGCCGTTATTACTCATGTCTTGCATCCAAAACGAAAGAGACCAAACGAAACGAAGTTAAATATCAGGGGTTAGATTCTCAAACGCTGTATCTCCTTAAGCCGCCTTTAACTAACGGCCGAGCGATCTTACATGCACATACATAGAGCAAGGACTCGCTATTTGATACGAGTTAAGGCGCCTTAGGTTAAGGCAGGGGAAGCGCCGCCTTTAGCGCTTTACGGAGGGCGGGAAATCAACACAAGGGAAATACAGCAGGACGGTTAAGGCCTCCAGCGCGCCATAACTTTAAGCTCTTTTGAGAATCCGACCCCAGAGCTCCATCATGGGTACACTGAACTACACCTTAAAGCAGACACATGAGATTCTCACACGTTTGAGTGTCTTAACTATATGTTATATTTGAACTCTACGTGTTGTGATAATATTCATTATGTGTTATGTGAGGAGTGCAAGTACACTTTACTTCTATAACTATTCTATTGCCTCGGTGATGTTATGGTGATGATAGTTCATGGTAGTAAACAATGGGATTAGTATTAAGAATAAGTATTCAACTATACTAATGTGATGATAATCATGATTATCATCATCGTCGACATAATGATGATGATGACGATGATGATAATAATGATAACGATACTACTGATGATACAGATAATGATTATGATATCAATAATAATAACAATGATAATAATATGATGATAAAAATCGTAATAATGATAGTGATAATGATAATGACAATAATAATTATTATTTACCAATAATAATGATCATAATGATGATAATAACAGTAATAATAATGATAATACTAATAGTAATGATAATAATACATTAATGATGAATAAATAGTAATTATAATACTGATAATAGTAATAGTAATGGCAATGATTATGCTAATAAAGATAATAATCATGATATTAGTAATAATGATAATAATCCAGATGATTATAATAATAATGATAATAATCCAGATGATTATAATAATAATAATGACAATGTTAATGATAATGTTAGTAAAAATGACAAATGATGATAGTTGAAATAATATTAATGATAATAATAATGATAAAGATAATATTAAATGATAATAATGTAATTGAAATAATAATTAATAATGATAATAATAATAACAATAATGGAATAATAGTAATGATAATGATGATAATAATAAAATATATAACAACAACAACATTATTATAACAATAATGATAACGATAACGACGATAATGCTAACAGTAAGAATAATGATAATAGTAATAATTTTAATAATATCAATACTATACTACTACTAATGATGATGGTGATGGGGATAACAATTGATGATGATGATAATAATGATAATGATGACAGTAGTAACAGTAGAGGTGGTTGTAGTAGTAATGATACTACTATTACTGCTGATAATAATATTAATAATAGTAATGATAATAGCAATGATAATGATAATAATAATAATAACAATAATATAATAACAAACTAATGATAGCATAATAAAACAATAATAACTACTATAATGACCAATCACCTAAATAGAATAACAATATGAAGATAATAAACGAAATGCCAATAACAACAATAACGAATACATACTATTGCACGATAAGCAACGATAATAATGATGATAATAATAAAATAATATAATAATAATAATAATAATAATGATAATAACGATACTCATAATAGAACCATTCACACGACCTTCTTAATAGCCTCGCGTACGCCGGCCACGTGACCTGGAACGACGAGACTGGCAAGATGACCTCTTTCCTCCCTCCCCCTTGACCCCTGACCTCGAACGGGTCTACGCTGACTTCGGAGGGCGGCAGCTGAAGGGCGCCGTCGTCCCCAACTGGCCCTTCTTCCAAGTCACGCCCCTGGATGCCTACGACGGCCCTTATCAAGAGGCTGGCCCGGTCTCTGGCATTGACTTCT